AAGACAGGCTAATTTAACATCAGGGTGGGTCTCCTCAGCTGGATCCCTGGTGTTTTCTAGTTCAAAAGGTTAAAAGGCCGTTTGCGAGAGACCCGAACAAGGCTTGGCACAGTTTTTTCGACCCCCATTTTTTGATGCCATCTGATAGAGCGTGGTCGAATTAGAGGAATCGCACTAATTTGGGATTTTTAAATTAGCATTTTCCTAGTTAAACAAGGCGTTAAAGTTGCCAACGTCCAAAATTTATCTCGACGACTACTTGACAGAATTGGATGAAACTTTGTGACTAGGCCTAATTTGGGATGGGGATCATTTTTCTAATACATCGCAAAGCACGAAAATTAGCAGAACCTAGTTAAATTGCATACCCAAAACAGTTTTTGCCAAATTTCAAATTAACGGCGAGTCGGCCGCAAGCTGGAATTAGGCTAGAAAGATGCGCAAAATTTTTCTGCATCGATTGATGTATTATTTAGGTGGCGGCCAGGTCGCCGTTTTCTCACAGCGAGGTTTTTATAGCTGAAAAATGGTCAGAAAATCTGACTAAAATGGAAAATATGGTGGTATTTACATATCGGAATAGTCAAAACGCATCAAGAAATCATGCCAAGTCGATTGCAAAAAAGAGCAAAAAGAAATTCGGCTTCTGAGAGTGAGCTGGGATTGAACTGGCGGCGGCTCTGGATTGGCACGCCGACGCGCTACTCACTGCGCTACAGGGCTACCAGGCGGAGGGTCCAGGTTCGATTCCCGCCCAAAACAAGCACCCCTTCAAATGTCGAATTTCTTTTTGCTAATTTTTGCGTTTAGCTTGGCGTGATCGTTAAATATGACCCCGTGGGTCAAAACATAGAAAATCGCAAAATTTTTGGTTTTAGTCAGATTTTCTGACCATTTTTCAGCTATAAAAACCTCGCTGTGAGAAAACGGCGACCTGGCCGCCACCTAAATAATACATCAATCGATGCAGAAAAATTTTGCGCATCTTTCTAGCCTAATTCCAGCTTGCGGCCGACTCGCCGTTAATTTGAAATTTGGCAAAAACTGTTTTGGGTATGCAATTTAACTAGGTTCTGCTAATTTTCGTGCTTCGTGATGTATTAGAAAAATGATCCCCATCCCAAATTAGGCCTAGTCACAAAGTTTCAGCCAATTCTGTCAAGTAGTCGTCGAGATAAATTTTGGACGTTGGCAACTTTGACGCCTTGTTTAACTAGGAAAATGCTAACTTAAAAATCCCAAATTAGTGCAATTCCTCTAATTCGACCACGCTCTATCAGATGGCATCAAGAAATCGAGGTCGAAAAAAACTGTGCCAAGCTATAATGGGGACTGTTCGAGTGACTCGCGGACGGCCTTTTAAATTCTTAGGTGTAAAGTATGGTATTTTCAGTTTAATTTGAAATTTGTGTTTTTGAATGAGTTTTAGTTACATTTGTTTCACTTTCTCTGAAATTTTATTTGATTTAGCAGATGGCTCTATTAGCACGATCGGCCGTGTAAAGGCGGTGTCGATAGGGTGGGTGTGTAGGCTAACGTAAGCGAATGGATGGGATGTTTGGTAAGACTAACTAATCGAAAGAGTAAAGAATTGAAGAAAAGGCGAAATTATAATAAACTGGTACTATTAAAGTATGAGAAGGAAAGAAAATATTTACGGAAGTGTTATAGGTTTTAGTTTTAATTTGTGCATCAAGTTTTTTCCACTAGTATCTTATTTTAGGCTGAGCCCTGGGTGCTTTTTCATAGCTTTATTGCATAGATTTAGTAAAATTTTACTGGGGTAGCCGTTTTTCAGTAAGTGGGTAATTAGATTCTGTAAATGTTTTGTAAATGTTTTATATGGATAGTTTGAGTCGGTCCAGCCGGTCCGACGGTCCAAAAAAAAGTCGGTCCAAACGGTCCACTCGGTCCGACGGTCCAAAAAAAAAGTCGGTCCAAACGGTCCAAACGGTCCAACGGTCCAAAAAAAAATCGGTCCAAACGGTCCAGACGGTCCAACGGTCCAAAAAAAAGTCGGTCCAGGCGGTCCAAACGGTCCAACGGTCCAAAAAAAAGTCGGTCCAGGCGGTCCAGGCGGTCCAACGGTCCAAAAAAAAGTCGGTCCAGGCGGTCCAGACGGTCCAACGGTCCAAAAAAAATTCCGTTGGACCGGCCTGGACCGACTTTTTCGGTCCGGACCGTAACAACCCTAGTTCAGACCTAGCAGCGTTGGGGTTATTGACGATCGTCATCGCCGGCGGCATTACAGCGATTTTTTGGTTCTACCTCCGCAGATTCAATCAGAGCAGGCGAGTGAGGGGGGTGTAAGCTGAAGCCTTCCGGCCTTTTTCCTTAACGGGGCCCTGTTGAAGCGCCTTGAAATTTTCAGGGGTTCTCGTTCGTTAGCGGGGGGCACATTTGCTTCCTTTATCTTAAATTACGTTATTTTGCGCTGTTTATGAAACTCTTCGTTTATTTTTGGTGCTCTGTTCATAGCGTTAGCGGAATGTCGAAAAATATCGAAATCCCGAAAAATAGCTTACGAACCCCATTTTCAGGGTTTACTCGGCTTTTGTTTTAACTTTCAAAAATCTGCGACATTAAACTCTGCCCCCGCCCCCCCGCTAACGAACCAGAACCTTTTCAGGCAATGCCCCGACGAAGAGCCGTCGCCAGGCGTGCCATTGGCTCTGCCATTACCAAAGGTCTACCCCACTGAGAACATTACCCTTGAGACGCAAACCCTGCCCGATAACTGGATGGAGAAGTTTGATAAAGTGGTAAGTGAATGCTGAGCGCGTCCGAATGAATTGCCATTAGTTTTGACTGTAAGTGGAAGAATTTTTTGACCTTTTTGGTCATTTTTCACACATTTTTTGCCAAATGGTGAAAAATTTTCGGAAGTTTTTAGAATTTTTTATAAAACTGGTATCTAGAAACTATGAGAAATGCTAGAAAAATTGTTTATATTTCGTTAGAGGGCCGTAAGTAACCCCCGTTAACGAACAAGGGCTGGTTTTAGATCACCGGGACTCCACGGCCTCGAGGAGATCCCACCCAGCTCGCCTTCGCGGAAAAGGGACACATCGCGTTACAAGTCAAGCAGCTACCGGAGCTGGTGCGTGAAATCATTCGATATCCGGGTCGTCTTATCTGAAAACCAACATGGGACTTATACTATTCGCGTTCAGCCTAAAGGCGGCGACCTTGAGCTGTACATCATCACCGAAATGCTGCACGATCCGGTTGCCATCGCAAGGAAGCTCTTCCACGAACTCGCGCACGGCTACATGGTCTCGGAAACGAATGGGAATGTAGGGGTTCACAACTTTTTTAAGGATCTAATTTTAAAGATATGAATAGTGGCAATGTTTCTAAATGTTTTCTTACTCTTCATAAACGTAAAAACTTTACAAACTTTGGTTAAAAACGATTTTTCGACCAAAAAGCCGGTTTTTGATCCAAAATTTCTAAAGCATATATGGTATTTACATTTTCCAGCCGCGCAGAACATTTCATCACGAGGAATTGAAAGCTTTGTTCCACCACGCCCGCATCATCGTTGGCGGGATGAATGGTGTTGCTCGCGTCTCCGGGCCGACTTGGATCATTGGAGACATCCATGGAGATGTGAGTATACGATAGTTTGCACATCACCACCGTATAGGGTTCAACAAACTTTTTTCAGCAGGAAACAAGTTTTCAAGCTCAGACCGACATTTTTTTGTCTGTTTCTAAATCCCTCGCGTTTCAGTTGAAAAATGGTGTAAGATAAAAAAATTAGGTTGGAAAAACCAAGCCTCCGTTGGGCTGGCTTAGCCGCTGCTTGCATAATACTATTTAATTTGCTCTTTCGAACATAAAAATTACATCTACTACCCTTTTAGTTCAACACCCTCGCTCGTATATTCGCCGCCTACTCGGAAAAGGCGTCGCCAGGCCAGAAGTGAGCGCGCGTTCCCACAGAATACAGTAAACGTCCATCTTCCAGCATCGTGTTCCTGGGCGATATCGTCGATCGCGGAAAACGCCAATTGATGTCTGTCGTGCTGATAGTCGCTGGTTTGGTGCTCTATCCCGATAGGGTGGGTGTATTTTGATGGGTGCATCCAGGCCCGTACGGGAGCCGAGATTTCATTTTTGACGACCCCCCGTCGTCACTTTCAAAACATTCGAAAATAGCGACAAGAACCGCGCCGCAGGCGAAAAAATTTTAAAAACCGCGTTTGTAACGCTCAAATTCGTGTGAAAACACATCGGAAACAGCGCGCGCAAGCGAAATTTTGTTCAGCAAAAATGGTGCACTAATGAAAACGGACGCCGCAGGCAAAAAATTTTAGAAAAATAGGTTTTCTAGAAGTAAAAATCGTTTCGAAACAGTGAGAAACAGCGCCACAGGCAGAAAAAATTTTTCGAAAAAAATCATAAGGGTCCCCCTTATGAACTTTTCGGACCTCGACCGATTTCGGGGGGGCACCGTGCCCCGGTGCCCCTCGTACGGGCCTGGGGCATCCAGTGTTGCACGATTTCAGATCTTCTACGTGTCCGACAATCACGAACTGCCACATGTCCACTACGCCTATGATTTTTGTCTGGAACTGATTGATGAGGAATACACCGAGTCGTGCTGCCAGCAGATTCGAGCCATGTTCGCCAGCCTGCCCATTTTGGCCCTGATCGACAACCGCATACTGGCCATGCACGGGGGCATCGGTATGTATCTTTTTGGGTTCGTTCGCATTACTGGGGTGGCTGGGCCTGTAGCAAAACATAAATCATTTTTATAGAATTTTACTTACAAGGGAACCACAAGTTGGCACGGTGGAATTTCGAAGAACGCTCGCGGCTATCCCTAGGTTTTCGACTATGGCGATTCCAACGCGCTAGTCAGAATTAGCTAAATCGACCTGTGGACAGAGATACAGCACTTCCGGAAAATGGTCAATTTACATTCGGAGGAATTAGCATTCACCTCAGGGTTTATGAGGGCTTCCCATCTCAGAAGAATCACCGGTTGAATGGCCGGGTGGTAAGCGGCTAGCTTGTTAGAATACTGACCAGGGTTCGAATCCGTTCACGACTTTTTTGTTTTGCTTTTTGGACGGAAGTTTCGAATTTTTTTCACATAGTAAAGCTTTTATTCGTTTCTGATGACGCCGATTCCTGCAAAAACGTTTTGAAGTTGTATCTTTCATGCGACAGCCCCTTTCAAACGAACGAGTAGCTTTTAAGAAGCTTGTAGTTTTGCTCAAGGTTCCGTCCAAAAGCAAAACAAAAAAGTCGTGAACGGATTCGAACCCTGGTCAGTATCCTAACAAGCTAGCCGCTTACCACCCGGCCATTCAACCGGTGATTCTTCTGAGATGGGAAGCCCTCATAAACCCTGAGGTGAATGCTAATTCCTCCGAATGTAAATTGACCATTTTCCGGAAGTGCTGTATCTCTGTCCACAGGTCGATTTAGCTAATTCTGACTAGCGCGTTGGAATCGCCATAGTCGAAAACCTAGGGGTAGCCGCGAGCGTTTTTCGAAATTCCACCGTGCCAACTTGTGGTTCCCTTGTTAGTTTTTAGATGTAAAAACAATGTTAACAAGGACAAATTTTCGAAAATGGTGACGCTTCCACGAGGGGTTAATTGTTTCAGGTCCAGAATTGACACGCGAGACCGTCGCTGCAGGATTCCAGCCGAGCGACGACATGCACGATGATCTGCGCATCGCCGTGCTCTGGAGCGACCCCAATCATCAGGTCAAAAAAGTGCGTGGGCCGCAGCGCATCGCAACGTGTCAAACGGCACACTTTCACGAGCTTGAAAATTGGCACACTTATAGAGCCCGACGACACGAATCAATTGGAGTAACTTTCAGCCATGAGCCTTTTATTCGAAGCCCTCAGTAGCAGCCTTCGGATGCAAAAGCAAAAAATAAAAATCGTGAGAGGGTTCGAACCCTAGTTAGATTCCCCACACGCTGCCTACTACACCACTAGGCCAACAGCTCACGACGGTGGGCAGGCGGGGAAGGCCTATGGAGTCAGGCCGGACAGCGCACGGAAATCATGCAAAAACTTAAAATACTTATAACTCGGCTGAATTACGGTATGGGCAGCTAAAAGTTACACCAATAGATTTGCCTCGTCGAGCTCTATGTGTGCAAATTTTCAAAATTCAATTCGATGTCGAGCTGAGACAATCTCCTTATCAGGTATGCTTGGAACCGCGTGCGTGGGACTGGCTATTTCTACGGCGAGGAGGCGATCGAAGAAATCCGCCGTGAGCTCGGCATTCAATTCATCGTCCGGGCTCATCAAGTTGGTATTCTGCCAGTGCGAGGCACGGCTAGAAAAAAAAAGGGAAAGGGGGGGGAGAAAATTCTTTCTTAGGAGCCAACTTTCCAAATATATAAATAGCCGAAGTGTTCCCAAACTGTTTTTTACTTTCCCTAAACGGAAAAACGTTACAAATTTTTATGAAAAATACAAAACAATATCGATTTTTCGACGAAAAATGGCAGGTTTTGACCAAAATTTCGACTTTTTGAAAGTTTTTAGATCGTTTTTGAGCTAAAATCTCTGGTTTCATTTACTTTTACTGAAAAAAGGCATAAAGGCGGCTACGATCCCAGCGCATCACGCAAATGCCGATTCAGGTGATGAACACCGGCGTGCGGTTTTTTTGGCGACTGGTTGATCTCAATCTTCACGTCAACGTGGAGAGAGCCGCAAGATAAGCCCCTGACGAAGGAGGAGCAGGAGCTGCTTCGCGCGAATACCAGAGAGGGCATGCGCTTCAGGAATCAAATCATTCGGGATGTGGAGCTGAACCCGGTCGGTGTCGTTTTGGTTCAGTTTTCGATACTGAAATTGTTCGCTACCTAGCACTTAGACCGTCGGTATTTGGGGAACGGCAGTTGAATTGGTCTGTCCTTAGTAGGGCTGCGGGTTCTTTCGCATTATCGGGGGGACCGAACTTTTTTGTATAAGTCTAGAAATGCCTAGTACGTTAACAGAAAGTGTTTTAATAATATTTTTAGTAAGCTATAACTATAGTTCAACTGGAAAAAGTATTTTAAAACGTTAAAAATGTTGAAAGTCGACATTTTCGTAAAAAATCGGTGTTTTTTTTTGCTCGCAGATCGCTCTCTTTAATATTTTTAATAAAAAAAACCAGGGTTGAAAATCGACCATTTAGGAGATTGCCGGGATCTTGGCGTACGACGGTAACAACCGAATGTCGATGATCCACTTCATCCCCACCAAATACACCTACAACAGTGCGTTTCCATTTCGTCAATAATTCGCGCTGGCCGCTTTGAGCTTTCATTTGGCCAGAGCGCCTTAATTGGCGCCTTCATGAGCGCCTTAATTTGGTCCTATTTATTATTTGGCGGTCATTTTTCAGCACACGCCGACTTCGCGAAAGCATTTGAGCGCAAAGCGGCTACGGATCTCGGCTTTTCGGAGAACAGCTGTAATAGGGTGAATACCACCTGCAATTTTTTCGGCCTCCCTTTTACGATACCTCTGGTTCCGGTGCAGTTTGCGCTCGCCACCCCATCTAATAGGAACCAGCTCTCCATTGTGATACGGGGCTGTAACGTACACTAAAACATTCACCAGGTAGAAAGTTACAAAAATATGTTTAAAGAATTTGAAAATTCGGAAATTTTACCTTTTTTGTCATTCTTCATACATTTCTGACTCGTTATTTTTTGTATTGTTTTTTTATTTAAAAACTGTGTAAAATTCCATAACAATCGTTTGTATTTTGGTATAGGGCCGTAGAGAATGACGGAAAAATTGAATCCCCTTCCCCCTTCCCCCGCTAACGCCCCCCCGCTAACAGTCCAGTACAACGAAACTTTATCCGCCTTTCAGCCTGAATGGCGCACGGCGTCCTCCTCAAGTTCTCGTGTGAGTCGGATTGGGTTTTTCTGACTCCCTGCTTCTTCATTTTTCCTGCGTTCAGACAATGCCCATCATTACAGAATGATGTGACGGCCGACCCGGTTGTGATGCCAACTGCAGTCGCCCCGGACGACGTCAAGGTGTTTCATTTCACTCATTTGGTTGGCATTACCGTTCCAAAGCGCGAGTAGTGTGTAGAGATCATCAAAAAACATACTAAGAATTTCAATTTTAGATGAAGACACACATCCAAAAATTATACTAAGAGTGTTATAAACAGCTCAAAATAATATAATTTAAGATACGAGCGGCTAGTAACAAAAAATGTTGCCCCCCCCCGCTAACGAACCAGAACCCAACACTTATGTTTCAGCTCAAAAAGACGCAGGAGAAAACGCAAGATGGTCTCTTGACGGCCCAAGACGACTCGATTGGCCCGGCAGAGAAGACGCAAGATGAGACGCTCAAGCAGAGCAAGCCCAAGGAAACTGTCTGAAATACTGTGAAGCAAGAAGCCCCCCGATTTCTCATCACTCGAAACGCCCTAAACATCACTGTGTCATTTTATATCTCGGATGCTTTCTTTTGTACGCAATAAAACGTTGGCTGACGATACAGAGTTACTTTATGTACATTTACGTCGTTTATGGTTACTATGTACGTTTACATGCACCTCTATGACCACGTTTTTTCGGGTCACGGAAAACACGCCTCTATCTCGATCGGCGGGTGTGTGAATGGCAAGTTTTAAACGGCCGTCCTGTCTTTATTTACAGGTACACTAAAGTCTCGTTGGTTTGGTTACCGGCCGGTAACCGTCCGCGGAATAGCAAAGAGGGTTACGGTAGGTGCTCGCCGCGGAGCAAAACCGAACCCTCGCCACCCGCCTAGGGCGAGCGCTTTAGACCACTAGGCCATGGGACAGACGGGAGAGGGGAGAGGGAAGGGGATAAGAAGGGTCCGGGCGTTGCGCAGGATTTACGTTCATTTGGCATAATTTTCATTTGGCATAATCTCATTTGGCATAATTTTCATTTGGCATAATTTCATTTGGCATAATTTTCATTTGGCATAATTGTCATTTGGCATAACGTTATTTGGCATAATGTTATTTGGCATAATTCGCTCGCCAAATCAACAATTCCCACAACAACAATTGGCAGTTCCTCAAGGAATTGGGTGGCGATCAAGTTCGGATCGATGTCAAGTACGAAAAGATGCGCCAACGCGGTTCGAAGAAGAACCGAAGTAGTCCCAACCCCCCGCGGGTATATTCCACCCAGCAGCGTCTTTGTCCTTGTCTTTGTCTTTACCTGTGATGTTGTGTGACATACATAAACAGGCTAAATTATGCCAAATAACATTATGCCAAATAACGTTATGCCAAATGACAATTATGCCAAATGAAAATTATGCCAAATGAAAATTATGCCAAATGAAATTATGCCAAATGAAAATTATGCCAAATGACATTATGCCAAATAAGCGTTCACCGTTGCGCAGCAGAGGGCCCGGATTTTCGACCACGAACTGACTTTTTGCATGAGATTTTAGTGTACCTTTAAAGGGACTCGGAAGCAAAAATTCGTGCGTGCGGAGATTGAAACTACCGGTCAAAAAACGCAAGGGCTACTGCCGAGAAGACCCGGTAAATTGCTGTCGTTGCGAATACAACGTAAAATATTTGAGTGAAAGCGAAATGTTCTTGAGGCGAAACACGACTTTTTGAGAGCGCAACAATTCCATGTCGTAGTGCACTATAAAACAACAAATTTCCCGATCTCGGTGATTCTCATATCAATTTTCATAATTAAAAAGGGCAATTTGTAAAACACCCGTTTGCGTAGCTGCCCATAGTCCGATTGGGTGGGCAGCTACGCAAAAGGGTGTACCGGGTGTACCTTGCTAATTGCCTTAAAAGCCTAGAATGATCAAAATTCGATGAGGATCACAGCAATTTCTTCAGCGTTTTCTTTTTCTTTTTTTCAATTTCTTTAGCAAGCGCCGCGGCCGCGTTGCGGTCGCATCTATTTGTCAGGAATCAACGCTGCCGGGCCGTCGACCAGATTGTGAGCTTTTAAGTGCAATGTTTTAGAAGCTATTGAGGGCATTACGGAAGCGCTTCCGCATCTAGCGAACAGCCAAGTGACCGGTCTGCAACCGGAAAAAACGGTCAAATGACCCCTAAAACTTGAAACTAGTGATGGGGTTATTCAAATCAAATCTTGAGTCAAATCTGAGAGCTCAAATCTGAATATTTGAAGGCAAAAATTTCAATTTCAAATCGGCGGATTTGATTCGAAACCCAGTGGACGAGTTCAAATCAAATCTCGAGGATTTGATTAAGCTTCCGGTCCTTAATCAAATCTTATGGAGATGCCGGCATGCAAAACATAAGAAAATCGCGTTGGCCGAGCTGTCGCGAACCGGAAATGACCTTGATTATGCATGCCATCATACAATTAGCATCCGCGTAATAGGCTATTGATTTTTTCGACTCCTTTCAAATCTTCTTCAAATCTTCAGATTTGAACTCAAACCTCGAAAGTCCAAATCAAATCGATTTGATTTGAAGTGCTGAAACCTTATTCAAATCAAAGCGGCAGATTTGATTAGGCGGATGCAAATTAGATTTGAGATTTGAATAATACCATCACTACTTGAAACGAACCCAGCATTCCGCTCCGCACCGGTGTGCCAGTGTATTTTTGTGTTTGCCGCACAATTTATCGTAGTTTTATTGCATCAAGGCGAAAAATACAGGCATACGAACACTCGTTTATGCAATCAGATATGTAGGATGAAATTAGGACGTTCACAATCGGCGTTTTTTCGGGCCAGTCTTCGCTCCGAGATTGGGGTGGTACTGTTGCTTGACGGGTGGAGGGGGAATCGGCTCGCGCTCTTCCCAGCACCTCTCGAGCTTCGCCTAAAAAAGGAAGGACTGTAAAGCTTCTGAACACGATGAGGGAGACAATCCACATCTCCAAGAAGGATAACGATGGATATTTCAAAAACAAGTGTCTTATTTTGGTCTTTTTGGGGCGAAAAAATCATAGGCCGCTTTCCCTCACGATTTAGGTACCTTTGAGCTGAGGAGATCCGTTCTCGCCGATTTTTGCCATCCTCAATTTTTTTATCCGGTTGGGATCAATTTTTAGGCAAAATTTCCTCATGTTTCTCCAAAAACCCAATTTATATCGAAGCTCATATCGCAGCGGCGTTTTTCGGGGCGAGACTTAAAATGCTCATAACTTTTTACGGTTATACGCTCTGGTTGATTTTATTACATATTTGGAATCCCCTCGACAAGGCGCGTCGAATGGTGTATCTAACTTTTCAAAGTCGATGCCGAGTTCAGATACCTCCCTAGTTAGACTTCTGCTTAAGCATAGCAAAATAAAAACCCCCACCACAGGGCCACCACAGTAAAGGTCAGCGTCGTCGCGGTACGTGGAAAGTGTACGCATGAAATCGTCGCGCGCTGAAAAAAAAAACGTAAAGGCGTAATATGACGGATGCTAAATGATGGAACTCGACCCACATTCATGAAAAGTCGAGGGAGGGACGAAATTAAGCATGCTGATGCGCCCGCTGCCGTCGTGACGCAGAACGGCGCCGATGCGGCCCACGCTTTCTTTCTGTAAATGGCACGCGGCGCTGTGGGGAGGAAATTGCATGCGATAACTTACGCCATCCTTCTTGGAGGAGGAGGCAGAGGAGGGGGAAGAGCAAAGAGAGATCAACCAGTCGCCGAAGAAGTGGATGCCCGTCGTCACTTCCTAGACAGCAAACTATTGAATTGAATTCTGGGTTCTGGACTGTTAGCGGGGGGTTTAGCAGGAGGAAGGGAAATCACTTTCTGTTTTTCCACCTATACCCACCTGCTGATGATATACAATGTATTTTTGAGCGTTTTTAATAGTTTTTGATCGATTACGTATCAAAAATATTTTTAAAAATTTTGAAGTTCGCAAATGTTGCTCTTTTATGGTTATTTTTCATAGATTTTTTCCAAAAAGCCAAGTTGTTATTATTTTTTATAGTTTTTATATCTAAACTATGTAAACGGCTATAAAAAGGGATTATATTTTGTTGTAGGGCCGTAGAGAATCAGTCAGCTTCAGACCGAAAACCGACAGGCTGAGTAGCACAAATGATGAAGCCGGCGCCCAGTTTCTTCAGAGCATCTATGATGCCCGCCTCGCCAAAGTAATAGCCTCGATCCGGGTCCCGATGCTCCTTCTTCGGTTTCTTTTTATAACTGAAAGAAACAGCGGTATTGGCGCATGCCATGGCTTCGCTTACATGCCGACCATCCAGTGCGGTTCGCTCAAGATCGTCCGGCGGCGGAGCAAAGACTTGAGGTTATCGCGCGGGTCAAGGCCCTCCTGAAGATCCGTGGCACGCAGCGTTGGGCCTAAAAAAATGGTTGAATAGGCTTTGTTCCTTGCTGTTTAGCGTGGGGCAGATAACTTTTGTTTTTCTGTCGATACCTATCTGTTAGTAAAATTTAGCGTAGTTTGGCAGGCATGCTTTAGTAGTTTTAGTATTGTTAGTTTTATGAGCCATTGCACTTCAAAAGTTGTGTAAAATGCTGTAGAATGATGTTCTGGGATTTTAGCGGGGAGGGGGACCAAATTGTTCGAACATTTTACATGGTTTTAGATCTAAAAAAAAATAGAAAAACAAAGATTTTGTAAAATGGATGACGTTATGGTCAAACTGTATGAAACGAAAAAAGCGGTTTTTTTGAATTTTTAAAAATCCTACTATATATAAAAAAAATAGTTTCTGTGTGTGTGTGGACACTTTGCATAAAAACCCGGGTTCCAGTCATAACTCGAAGGGGGAAGGATTTTATGGTCCGAAAGTAAGGTAGTAAGGGGTAATCGAGGGCGTAGATTACTGCACGCTTATCAGATTTTTATAAAAATGCCGTTTAATACCTTATTTTAACGATTTTCAGCACATATGGAAATAGACCAATTTGCATACGAGGATTAAAAGGCGATGTCCCAGTCACCCGAACTAGCTTGGTACAGTTTTTTTTGGACCCTGTTTTTTTGACGTCATCTGAAAGAGCGTAGTCGAATTAGTAGGGCTGCATAGTTTTTGAAAGTTTAAAATGTTGATTTTCAGTTTTAAATGGCTGTTAAAGTTGCGTACCACGAAAAATTATCTCGAAAAATACTCATCAGAAAAATCTGAAAATTTGTGACAATACGAATTTTAGGGTTCTGATCGTTTCTCTAATACATTGCAACACCTGAAAATGACTAGAAGGTTAAATCGTGTACTCAAAAGAGTTTTTTGCAATTTCCAGACGTAGGACAGTCGGCCGCCCGTTGAAACTATCGTAGAAAGATGCGCGCGAAAATTCTGCATCGAATGGTGTATCGCTTATCGAGCGGCCACCTGTCCGCATATCTTAAAAATTGCGTTTTATGTGCGAAAAACGATGATTTTTGCGTGGAATCTGGGACTGGAAAGGCGAGAGAGTGCGGGCGGCGCAGAGGGGCGAGACAGCGAGGGTGCTCCAGGTGGCTGCTCTCTTGCAGCATCCGAGTGGCTCCCCCAGGGCTGCTCTCTGTCCGTCGGGGCTCTATGCCCGTCCCCCACTATCTCGCCTCCCAGACGCCCCAAAACACGCAAAAATCGTCGTTTTTCGCACATTAAACGCAATTTTTAAGGTATGCGGACAGGTGGCCGCTCGATAAGCGATACACCATTCGATGCAGAATTTTCGCGCGCATCTTTCTACGATAGTTTCAACGGGCGGCCGACTGTCCTACGTCTGGAAATTGCAAAAAAACTCTTTTGAGTACACGATTTAACCATGTTCTAGTCATTTTCAGGTGTTGCAATGTATTAGAGAAACGATCAGAACCCTAAAATTCGTAGTGTCACAAATTTTCAGATTTTTCTGATGAGTATTTTTCGAGATAATTTTTCGTGGTACGCAACTTTAACAGCCATTTAAAACTGAAAATCAACATTTTAAACTTTCAAAACTATGCAGCCCTACTAATTCGACTACGCTCTTTCAGATGACGTCAAAAAAACAGGGTCCAAAAAAACTGTACCAAGCTAGTATCGGGGCCGTTCGGGTGACTCGGAAACCGCCTTTTAATTCGGCTCATTCTGGGCTTTCCGGGGTTCCGAGTCGGTTGCTCAAGTAATTCCTGTGGTGTGCCTATCGCTAACGTAATTCGTAATATTAATGCAAATTATTATATGCAAAGTGCCCGTGTATCAAAGGGCCCCGCAGAGAGGCCAGGGTTGAAAAGTCGCGAAGCGGCTTTTCAACCCTGGTATTTTTGATAACTTTGTAGAAACCAAAAACTAGAAAAAACCAATATAAAAATACATATCATCTCACCAGAAAGTCTTTCCCCCCGAGAAAGATTTAGATTTCGTTTTAAAGCTATATAGATTTAGAAGCAGTCAGCGCAAACTTACTGGGTCCGCCATGCATCGCCAGCACGCGACCGTCGATGGTTGCGACGAGCGGGAGACGAGCGAAAAAAGTCGCTGATGGCCCCATCGGCTGCCGTCTTCTGATCCACCGCCGGAGCGTTGTCCCCATCTTTTTTCTTCTCTCCAATGTCCTTCTCCACGAGGTTCAATGTAGTCTCCACCGGAACAAACTCGCCCCACATTTGCCCTTCAAACTTGCCGCAAAGGTAGAACACCTAAAACGGGGATACGGGCTTGGTTCGTGGTAAAATGTGGACACGAAGTTCTACAGGGCTCCCCCAAAAAAAAACTCTTCAAGCAGCCCTTATTTTTTAAATTTTAAAATTCGAAAATCTTGGCTGTTTTTGGTAATTTTTCATACACTTTTGACCAATGTGTAAAAACTATGTAAAATGTTATAAAAATGGTTTATATGTCGTTATATAGGACCGTAGAAAATGGTGGGGAGCAGGGTTGGTCACGCTGGATCCTAATCGGATCCGGTCCGGTCCGGTCCGAAATTTCCATCCGGACCGGACCGGACCGGACCGGACCTGTCCGGTCCGTGGCGGACCGAGGGGCTTTGATTTGCTAGGAGAAACGGAAATGCAACATGCAAATTCGGAATGCAAAAGAGTGGCGTACCAAAAAAATGACGCAATGTGGAATTCGCTTAATCAAAATGTACAAAATTATTCCTCCCCCATTAATTTTTGGCTATATACGCGACGGCTAGTAGCCTAGATGTGGAAAAATATGTCAAATTCTTCGCGAGTAGTATTTTGCATACAAAATTTTCCATATCTGGCTCCTGAATCATGTCCCTTCGTGTTCAGAACGGACCGGACCGGTCCGGTCCGGTCCGGTCCGGTCCGGACCGAAATTCTCGGATCCACTCGGACCGATCCGGACCGGACCGGACCGCGGACCGTCCGCGGACCGGATCCTTTGTGACCAACCCTGGTGGGGAGCCCTTTTGGGACACCCTGTCATTTGGACCTGTTTGGGGTAGATGATCATGGCGGCCACGACAAGGACGATGACTGGCAGCGCCTGTGGCCGTCGACAGCCCACGTTTCCCAAGAACAGAATCCTGAGCGTATAATCAAATAAAGGGTGTCGCAATAAAAAAACCCCTGTAACTCGACGTAGAAGTGTCTGTTCGGGATGATACCGACACTATTCGAAAGCCCTTGCAAATGCGAGTTTGCAGCAATCTTCAATTGTTCAATTTCTATTCAAAGCCGCGATTTTACAAGCCATTTTGTAGATTTAGCAGTTTTTCGTGGTTGCATACGAGCTAATTTGCGTCAATTTCTCCAAGCAAAATGACCGGAAGTAGCCGTTAATTAGATGAAGCGCCCGTTCTTAATGTTTTTAAAGCTGTGTAAAATGGTTCGTTTGAGGAAAAACATGGTTTTGAGGATTGATGCCAATTCGCCGTTTCCAGGGCTTTCGAATGGTGGAACTGTCATTCCGATCGGATACTTCTGCCTCTAGTTACAGGGGGTATCTTTTTTATTGCGACACCCTGTATGCGGATGTGTTAGTCGCGTTTAGGGCAGCTTAACCGACGCAACTCAACGCTTACTTTGTGCCGGGGTCGGCCATTGTTGAGTAGGCCTTGAAGATGCGCCAGGCAGTGTGGAACTGTAAATCCAAAAAAAGTGCATGGCTAGTGGGGGGTGCCATGCGAAAGTGAGATTCCGAAAAGTCACAAAAACCCACGTCGCCGTTCAGATCTCCAAGAATCCAGACGGGCCCTGTTAGATGGACGACACCTCGTTGCTCGCCGACAAGGTGCCCGGCGTGGTTGAACATGGCCAGCAGTTCGCCCCAATCAAACGTCGCAATCGGGTCGGTACCGTTGCCCGGTTTCCGCATAAAGCGGTCATCGGCCAATTTGTGGAAAATGTTTCTGGCGACGGCTAGCGAATCGCTCGCAACCGAGCACTTGATTTTGTCGTCGCTGTTCTGAGGGCACTGAAAACGTATTCCATAACGTTGCACATGTCTCATTCTCCATATTTCGCCTGTTGCGCTCTGAATAAACGAACACACCGGTTCCACCTTCTTCACTTGCAGTGCAATATGGCCATCGCTTGCAAAATGTAGATTGCCCATCTGGTCTGGGTCAGGGTTTGCGGTCATCTAAAAACATTCGAAAAGCTGGTTCTTTCGTATTTCCGAGGCGCACCAATATTTTTCTTATGATCTCATTTTCAAATATAAATAGTATCAGTATTTCTAAATGGTTTTTTACTATTCCTAAATGTGAACACTTTACAACCTTTAATTTTTACAAAAACATCGAAAATATCGGATTTTTGAGCAAAATTTCGACTTATTTCAACATTTTTTAGAAAGTTTTTCAGATTTAAATATGGTTGTACATTACTAAAAGCACTATTAAAACCCTCTCTATTAACTTACTAGGCATTTCTAGACTAGTACAAAAAAAGTTCGGTTCTAATATCGTAACGCAGGGTCTGGCTGGTAACGCATGAAGTCAAGTGTCTCGAAGTACCAGTTGGTCCAGGGCATCCATCCAATTCCCGGTGATGTCTTGCTCCTGAAGTACGATGTTTTCATAAACACGAGACATCTCTGGCAGAGCGACAGCCGTTATTTTGATATCTTGTTGCCTAAAACATCATTAAGCCGATTTCCGGGGGAAGTGGTCTACGACTTTTCTTGCGATTGGTCAGACGACGCTCTGCCGCACAGGAGGAACTTCGTGGAAAGTACGACACCAATGACGAGCGCAACCGCTCCGATTGCCCCTCCGGTATCTGAATGAATCATGTGGCACGCTAGACTCGGAGCCCGAAGACCAGCATGAAAAACCCAACAAGTTGGCGGCCATGACGATATTTCGAGCGGCGGCTCTTCCCGCACGATGATGTTCCTCGCCATCAATTCGTCAGTCCGGTTCCAGCAGATTCGCTGGAAGAGCATCTTGGTTCTGGTTCGTTTGCGGGGGGAGAGTTTAATGTCGTAGACTTTTTAAAATTGTACTATTATTTTGGGAACTACATCATCGCGACCCGGTGTAGCATCAAAAATATACAACGATTTTTTTAGTTTTACATCAAAACAATTAACTTTAAGTTATATATGTTACAATAATAACTCAGAAATTGGAGTTGGTAAGCTATTTTTGAAATTTAACATTCTGTTAACGCTATTGCATAGTGCATCAAAAAAATAAACGAAGAGTTGCATATACAGCTCCAAATGATGTAATTTAAGATAAAGGAAGCTATTGACAAAAAACGTGCCGCTAACTAGCATTTTTATAGCATTTACACTATTTTTATATATCAACCCTCCCCCTGCATTAAACGGCAAAACCGGGGAGTAAGCGCACCAAATCGTCGTCGCCGTCGCAAATGGGCGGATCGATCATCAATCCTTCTACGCCCCATATCTGCACGAAGATGTTCGTCCAACAGTTCAGCATGTAGTCACGATCTACTCGTTCCCGATCCGGTGACTAAAAAACGTGTGATGAAGAATTTGTCGTTCCTCCGCCACGAGGGCAAGGGAAAACTTGCCGATAATGCGGCTGTATTGATGCATTTTGGATATCGAACGATTGGTGTGCTAGCGGCCTTGTCTTCGACCGGCTAAAGCAATACAATCAAGCAAGATTTCAAAACCCGTTTCGGCACCTCCGCGGTTTCCATTGAATCGGCGCCAACCATCAGATTCTCTTCCTCATCCATCAGTTCAGCATATGGGCCCGCCTGAAAAAGGTAACACAATTGCATCTGCATCCCTCGATGCGTCCGTCCGAGATGATTCTTTTAGTAGGTTGATCTGTGTGCTTTACAAGGGAACCACGTAAGGTTAAGGTGGCGTTTCGGTATGCGACCCAGCCAATACTGAATTTTTAATTGAATTGAATAACAAATATCGTCATCGTATCCAAAAAAGATTTCTCTAGTTGATGAGCTTTATAGCTCGAAATTGTTGAAAATCGAAAAATCTTGGTGCGCTAAAAAAGCAAAAAAAAAGTTGGGCATCGTGATAGATGACTTCCCGGGGGCTCAAATAATACCTTAAAATCGATGGAACCTTTTACATCGAGCTGTTTGACAAAAATTAAAAGCAGGTTCGGCATCAGCAAAAAATTCCGCACCAGAGACGCTGGGTCCCATCCCGAACTGCCAACTTCGACCTTTGGCGGTTCCCCTGCTAGCTGGAATGACATACCATCCCACGCCGTGCCCAAAAGATCTTTTTTGGCATCGATATCCACAAGGTCGAGAATAACACAGCCTCTGTAGCGCGTCACGCCATACTCATAGACGCACGGCACCTCGCACTGCGCGGCTTGCTGCACCAATTTATGCTCGAAAGGCGACCCCAGGCTGCAACAACATGCGTCACGCTTTAGCCATAGACACTTACGGCGTCTTGAAATCGCTTCCGCACATCGGCAACGGCTCGCAAGTGCTGTCCTTAAAACGGCGCCCGTGTTCTTCGCAATACTAAAAACGCGTAAGTAAATGGAGAGCCAGCGGGCATACCGTGACATTCAGGGGATCGACAGTATCGTAGCTGACGTTACGGAGCGGAGATGGGTCCTCCTTCAAGTAACCGGCGGCCTGATGAAGGCTCGGGATGCATGTCAATTTTGTTAGTCGAGTCGTATCAGCTGCAACGGCATCAACGACAAACCTGAACCTCAGGCACCATATCGGGTGTCCCAAAATAGCACTACTCTGGAACTTCGTCGTATTACATCCGATCACTCCCAAAATTGGACCAGGGATGTGCCATACCGCCACAATCCTGAGTTATAGCCCGCTAGTTACAATATTTTTCGAGATGCTATAAAAATAATCTTTACCAGGGTTGAAAAGCCGCTTCGCGACTTTTCAACCCTGGCCCCGTCTGATCCCATGATATTCTTCACTTTGCATAATTCTCGCGATTTTCTATGACAAAAAAATGAGAAACGCCAGCTCCCTTCTCTTATATAAGCTACCGCAACTTCCGGCATATGCTAATTTTTGCGGTTCTTTAGGATTTCCGGGGGCGAGTATTTCCGGGGGGAAACCAAATTTTTTCCTGGTTTTCCCGGTTGACCTAGTAATCAAATATAAAGTGTTTTGACATCGTATTTAGTAAATTTTAACTATATTTAAAGTAGAAAAACCTTTCAAAAAAGTTAAAAAAATGTTTGAAAAAGTCGAAAATTGGTCATTTTGGGTCTTTCCCCCCGGTAATCCTAAAGGTTCTATAGGATTTTTCGACCTAAAATTAAATTTTTAATTAAAATGTGGGTAGTTTTTATGCTCAGGACTAGTTAAAAACCATTTAGAAACGCATGCGCTATTTAGAAAAAAATTTAGGCTTGGGCCGAAAAATTTGGTTCCCCGGAAATACTTTCCCCGGAAATCCTAAAGAACCATTTTTCCTAACAAAGAGGTTGTTCGATTTTCCAACAAAAAGCTTAATTTTAACGTCGAAAACACCGAATTTCTGAAAATTTTATGAGTCTGCAGTCATCCGAAGGCCATTACGCACCTAATGACGTATTAAACATTCCCCTAACTACTCCCCTTATTGAGATACTGCTGGAACACGCTGACGGAAGTTGCATGCAAATGCACACACATACATACACACACACACACACACAGGAACTATTTTTTATATATAGTAGGATGATGCGTTTTTCATAGGGGTTTCTTCTGAGGCCACCCCTAGAATATCAAGTGCAAATGCTGCGGGAAGGCTTCTTTATCCCTAGAAATTTTTTCCTGACAAAAATTAGCTAAATAAAGGCTTGTTTAAACGTTTTTACAAGCGAAATCAACCTGGACCTTAGGCGAATTGAGGGATTCCGAGCCGAAAGCTCATGCAAATCGATGCAACGCCCAAAAAGATAGCCGAAAAAACTGTTAAAAATCGCAGAGAGAACAGTATTTTTGCTAAAACCGGAGAACCACTGTAGCAATCCGGCTATAACTCAGGATTGCGGTTATTTAGGGTATGACCAGGGTTGAAAAGCCGCTTCGCGACTTTTCAACCCTGGCCCCGTCCGAGCCCAACGCTTTGCATTGCATAATTCGCCCGAATTTCGATGAAAAATAATGAAAAATGCACTCTCTCCAGTTATATAGGCTGCCGCCACTTCCGGCGTATGCTAATTATTTGCTAACAAAGAGGGTGCCGGATTTTTTAACAAAAACCTAAGTTTAATGTCGAAAATAGCATAATTTGCAAATCTGATATGCGTGCAGACAGCTCGGGGCCATTACGCACCTAATGACGTATCATATGTAGCCTAATACCCTTTCCTCTTTGAGTTATCTTCCGGACAGCCTGACGGAAGTTGCATGCAAAGTGTCACACACACACACAGACACTATTTTTTTATATATAGAAGAGTAGGATAGGATACACCTCTGGTCCACATTTGAGACCGATCAGATGTAACACGGCGAAATGCCGGAGGGGCGCGTTTCTTTTTTGGACACCCTGTACATACTTTGGGACTGTAAAACCGGCATCGCATTGAACCATATACTCCGTGGATATTTTGATACTGGACGGATCGAAGGCCACGGTGCTCCTATGGTCACAAGTTCAACAAAAAAAGGTGATGTCTTTACAGTTTCTTGACGTCACACTCTCCAAGCGCCACCATCTCTCGCGTGCATACGTTGAACGGGAACAAGACTTTTTCTGGAATTCGCTTGTGGGTTGTGCCTGCCGATGTTTCGTAGGCTTACAAAACCTGGCGTTGTAGGCTTGGCTTGAAAAACTTCGTGAAAAACTTATGGTTTTTTCCACCTGTTGATGATATATAATGTATTTTTATCGTTTTTATCGTATTTTGAGCAGTTTCTGAAGGCTAGAAAAATAAAAAAATGGTTTTAAAAATTTTGAAGTTTCGGAAATTGACCTTTTTTGGCCATTTTTCATACATTTTTGAAATTTTTATTTGTTTAGTACGTTTTATATAATAAGACCTATGTAAAATGCTATAAAAATAGTTTATCTGTTACTATAAGGCCGTAGAGAATCCCAGGAAAAAAATTTGGTTCCCCCCCCCCGCTAACAGTTCAGAGCCGCATTTTTCCCACTTGTACCTCCAGCCACCGTCACGGCTTTGATGCACTCAGTTGTAGTGGATGAATTCATGCCTTCTGCCTAAAAAGCAAGTCTCGATGTCTGCTGCTAGTCCTCACACAAAATTTTGGGTGGCATGATCGGGTGAGCGCAAGTCTGTTGCCCTTGGCGTCATTGCCAACAACAACCGTCCCATCGTCACACGGTGTCTCCACCGCACAAGCCGCACACTGAACCGTTTAAGTTAAGAACGTTATAACCAAGGAATAATAACGGTTCTGGACTGTTAGCGGTGGGGGGGGGGTGTTCAGCAGGGGGAAACCACTTTTTGTTTTTACACCTATCTGTGGAATTATTAGTAGTTTTTTATAGTATTTTTAGTAGTTTTTTGCTATACATAGTAGTTTTGCATTGCTAGAAAGTTACCACAAATTTTGAAAAATTGTGCAAATTCGAAAATTTAAGCTTTTTGGTGATTTTGGTGATGATACATTTTTATGGTTTTTTTTTCTCTAATAACTATGTATAACGCTATCAAATAGCTTTTATCTTGTCGCTTATATACAGCTTAAAATAATGTAATCTTATGTAAGAGAAGCTATTGCCAAAAAATGTCCCCCCCCGCTAACGAACCAGATCGCAAATACCTTAGCGCTTGAATGTTGGAGCCACTCAGGATACGGCTGGTTGAGCCCGTCGTAGGCGTAGCAAAGAAACGGGCGCATCCCCGGGCACTAAAGTGCGGATGGTTGAAAAGACCAATTGCGGAGCTGACCGGTGGAAGTGTTTCCGCGGTGGAAGCGTCGGTCGATGCGGTTTCACCGGCTGCGGTCGTTTGAGGCGTGGTTTCATTCAGAGGCGGTAAGGTCTCGTCGAGGGAAGGTGCGCTGTCGTTCAGAACGCGCACCGTGGGGATCACGGGGTCCGAAGACGTATCATTCCTGAACAAGGAGTATTGTCAGCGTTGCTCTCTATTCCCTAAAAACGCCGCGTAAAGAATCTAGAAATAGGCTTTTGCCGGTTCTTCCGCATTATCGGGGGGTAGCGGGGGACCAACTTTTTATTGGAAGTGTTTCTTAATGGTTTTTTCCCTAAACGTGAAAACTATAGAAATTTGATCAAAAAACGTCAAAAATATCGATTTTCTACCAAAAAGGACCTATTTATGACCAAAGTTTTGATTTTTTTTCAGCACTTCTTGATAGTTTTTCTGGTTAAAGTATGTTTATTTGACTAAAAAACTACTAAAATACTGGCTATTGAGTTATTAGACATTTTTAGACTTATGCAACAGTTCGCCCTCCCCCCGATAATTCCAAAGAACCTGGTAAGACTCCAGATAACCCCCCCCCCCCATCCGGCACCCAACTTTTGTATCTCGGCTCCCTGTTCATCTACAGGTGTGTAAAGTATACCAAAATGTTCGTCTTGCTGTGGCGAGTATTTTGGTATACTGGCTAAATTGCGTTATATGGTCACTAAACGGATTTTGGATTTTTATATACCAAAATGCTCAGCAGTTCAAGCTGGTTCAGGATCAGTTGAAAAAACTATTGGGAAACACTTCTGGAGCGAGTTATAACACTTCAAAGTTGGCGAGTGTCGTATATGGTCACCAAACGGATTTTCGATTTTTATATGTCAAAATGCTCAGCGGGCCGAGCTGATTCTAGAACAGTTGAAAAAACCTTTGGGAAATACTTCTGGAGCGAGATATACCACTACAAAGTTTGGCGTCACCCCGGTCCACTAAATAACGTTGTCGCCCCGGCGAGTCAGTTTTCGGTGTTGCGAAAAATGGTTGGGTTCGAAATGGGTTTGGCATGAAACTACACACCCGATCTGAGCCTAAAAATAAGGCTTCGTGCCACCGGGGGCCTAGTCGCTTCGGATGGGTACGAGCTCGTACAGGGTTTCGAAATGGGGGCGCCAAGGCTGGCGAAGCGGCCGGGGCGCCCCCATTTCGAAAGAGGAGCGGCAGCCCATCCGAAGCGACGGCCCACCTTGCCTGACTCATGGGAGTACGTTGAATAATATACCACTTATGAGATATACCACTTCGAAGTTGGGCTTCAAACAGCCCCCTATATACCGTGTTTTTGCCCCGGAAATTCCGTTTTAGGGGGAAGATGGATAAGTGTGCGATAAGCGTTTGGCTTGACATTACACACTCGATCTGAGCCTCAAAATAAGGCTTCGTGCCACCCCGGGGCCTAGTCGCTTCGGATGGGTGCGAGCTCGTACAGGGTTTCGAAATCGGGGCGCCCGAGGAGCGCGAAGCGCCCAGGCGCCTCGATTTCGAAAGAGTGGAGCGGCAGCCCATCCGAAGCGACGGCCCACCTTGCCTGACAATGTATTTTTTTACCCTTGAAACGGCAATTCTTCACCATTCCGTTTCTTTCCGATGTACAGTTGGCGTATTTTGGTGTACTACGTACTACTTCAGGGGCTGAATGGACGGTTTGTAAGCTAGATATCTCGCTCCAGAAGTATTTCACAAAGGTTTTTTCAACTGTTCTAGAATCAGCTCGGCCCGCTGAGCATTTTGACATATAAAAATCGAAAATCCGTTTAGTGACCATATACGACACTCGCCAACTTTGAAGTGTTATAACTCGCTCCAGAAGTGTTTCCCAATAGTTTTTTCAACTGATCCTGAACCAGCGTGAACTGCTGAGCATTTTGGTATATAAAAATCCAAAATCCGTTTAGTGACCATATAACGCAATTTTCCCGGTATACTTTACACACCTGTAGATGAACAGGGAGCTGAGATACGGTAGGTGGGGGTCGGCTGGGGGGTTATCTGGAGTTTAGCCAAGAACCTTTTTACCAAGCGCATCGGTGGATTACTCAAGCAGCGGTATCAGGGGGCGGTATCTGTTTACTACTTTCTTACTGATTCGCGAGTTGGCTGTGCGTGATGGAGATGTAACAGATCAGCAGAAGCCAGCAGAACGGTTGAATCGAAACATTGGGACGAAGGAGCATCGGCGGCTCAAACCGATGGAGCTGGGATCACTGGTCCATGTGGCTATTCAGGAATCACTATTGCCATCACATTTATGCTAATCGTGGTTGGAAATCGCGAAATCTGAGCCTAAGCTTTAAATTGCCGTATGAGGTTAAAATGGAGTCATTTAAGGCTTAGCTTAAAGCTAAATTTCGCTTGGCTCAAGCTAAACTTAGGCTTTATTTGTATGAAGCTAAGCGTAGGCTTAGGCTTAGCTTAGCTTTTCCGAGCGCTTAGAGTTTAAAACGGGGCGTCTCGTAGTCCAAATCTAAGTTCGGAAAATCGTTATTTTTGATGTTTTTGATAAAAATTTGTAAAGTTTTCACGTTTAGAAATAGTAAAAAACCATTTAGAAACACTTCCACCATTTATATTTGAAAAATTCGAGCCTAAGAAAAAGTTGGTCCACCCGATATTGTGAAAGAATCATTACCATAACTCCGAATCACCATGACATCCGCAAATGGAGGCTCGAAGAAGTTAATGCATCATTTCTGACAAATGAAGCTTGCTGCTTTGGTCTGGCTCCTGATGTCCCCCCGTGCTCATCGCTGCGCGGCGCGTGAAATCCGTTTTCACGCGTCCTTTGTGTTCCTGATCTGTTCTTTTTTCTCTATCTCCGACGGCCAACCTGCCAATCCGTAGGGACAACAGTACCTGACTGACTTCATGGTTTAGGAATGATACGTCACCGGCGGCAGTGATCTCCCCCTCAACGGCTTCTCCTACTCCCCGTCTACCACCGGTATCCCACCCCACAAAATGTCTTCCTAAAACGCTACTTTAGTGCCCTATTTACCGTGCTTTCCTGTGCTACTCGATGGATGCACTGGGCGAGCCTTATCCGGAATGGCTTCAACAGAGCGACACGCCGGTATGGACCTATTAAACATTTTTTTAAACACCTTGCACCAAAAAAAGCCCGGTTCTGGACTGTTAACGGGGGGGAGGGGGGCTTAGCGGGGTGAACCAAAATTTTCCCTGTGATTATCTACTGCCATATAAGAAACTATAGACTTTTTTTTACAACAGTTGACATAGTTTTAAATATAAAAACGATGTAAAAATAATATAAATTGTTACAAATTTTGAACTTTTTTGCGAAAATTTATGAAAAATGATAGTTTTCGAATTTTAAATATTTTTGTATAACTTTCTAGCAATCAAAACCTACTAGAAACTCATAAAAATTCGGAATAAGAAATAAGTCCGTAAAGTAAATCCAAACTAGTTTTGATCTTTCGATAGATACCTAAATCTTCGATCTATCGATCGATAAACTCTTCAGAATCGGACAAATGTATATGTATGTTTATAGTGTTCCCCCTGCATCATGGAGACACAGTGCGCTGAAGGCGTCGGTTTAAGTGGGCACGACGAAGGAAACACCCCTGCGGTCCTGAAAAAATGTCGGCCGCAATTTTGCGTATGAATTTGGGTGACGATAAAGACAACTGCTTTTGTTTTGTAGCAATCCGATGTTGATGCATCGGACGACACGGACTGTATCAAAGCGGTATTGGTGAATGGAGGTAATTAGGTTTTGGTTCGGCTGAACTCCAGACACACCCCCCCCAGCCTGTCCCCAGCTTTTGTATTATCTCGGGTACCTGTTTGTTTACAGGTCTGTAAACTACCAAAATGCTTGCCAGGGCAAGACGAACATTTTGGTATACTTTACACACCTGTAGATAATCAGGGAGCCGAGATACAAAGGTTGGGGGGGGGGGGGATTGCTGGAGACTTACCTCTGTTTCGAAACGGGGGTTCACGTACTTGACACTACACAGCTCAAGACTTGGCCTAAGCTTAAACCTAAGCCTAAGCCCAAGCCTCCAACTAACAAACCAAAAACGTTAATTTGTTATGAAGCTCAGTACCATCATTTTCAGAAAAAGTCTTCTTCCCGTTCAACCTGTGCACACGTGCAATGGTGGCCACTGGAGAGTGTGACGGCAAAAAACTGTAAATCCATTCGGGCTTCCTCATACTCCGTTTTGCAGGAGCACAAAACGCTATGACCCGACCTCTGGAAGATTGACTACAGAATATCTGGTGCAATGTGACGCTGACTTCTTGGTGCCCAAGTCCGTTTGACCTCCTCGAAAGTTATAAAGGTTTTTCAGGTTTGTCGTTGACGCCAATGCGGCTGATAAAAGTCGGCAATTGACATGCGTGCCGAGCCTCCAATTGGCCGCTGGTTTCCTGAAGGATTCTCCATCTCCTCTCCAAGACTATCCCTACAACGTTCCCGATCTGTTGGACTTTGAGGTAAGCACATCCGAGAAGTTTGTCGGGGGAGTGGTGTAGTCCTCCCCAGCCAACCCCCCGCTTACTGAACCATGGTTTTCCGTTGTTCTGCAGAGACGTAGAGTATATGAAAATGTTCGTCTTGATTTGATGAACATTTTGGTATACTTTACACTCCTCCTGAGCAACGGGGAGCCGAGATAAAAAAGTTTGGGGTCATCTGCCGTAAAGATAAACTGCATTCTTCCAATGCGGCGACAATTCTCTTTTTAGTACTGTGGAAAAGGTGGCCGTCAGCCGACAAACAGCGCCTGCCAGCCACTACCAATCTGCGAAGACGTTAGCGATACACCGTAGGGCACTGTGTGATGGTTTAGAGTATTTTGTAGCTCGACTCGGCCCTTCGCCAACGGCTTGGTGAAAATAGCGCCAGAATGTGATGTGCCATGCCACTATGAATATGGTCGGATGAACTACAGCGACTGCGTCTTCCTGGACATCGTTGACGCTGGCGCGAAAAGATTCTTTTCGGCTCGTCGTGCATTGGTAGGTTTTTCTCGGTTTAGTATTCATGGGCCTGACCAACCAACTTTTTTTCTACGCAAGACTAAATTTTCTTATGAATAGCGGATGGGTTTTCCTTTTTTTGGTGTTTTTACCTATTCCCAGGCAGAAAAAATTTAATAGTTTTCAGTAAAAATTTAACTTTCGACTAAAATGACCAAATTTTCGACTTTTTCAAACACTTTGCTAACTTGTTTGAAGGTTTTTCTACTTCAAATATGGCTAAAACTCACTTTACTTTATCAAACAATGTTTCAAAAATCGTTGATTTTCGCCGGAAAAATCGCTGTTTTTTGGTGTATTTCATCAGAATTTGTCAAGCCTGCGCGTTTAGGAATTGTAAAAAACAGTTTTCAAGCTATGTACAGAGTGCGTCAAAAAAAAAGAACGAAGTTTGCAGTGACATATCTCGCCAACGGAAACGAATCGGACCATGGTTACCTTGCCAGAATGCTTAAATATGCTGGGCATGAAGAAATAACACATGTTGTTTTTTAAGATTTTTGACGACCAGTGGGTCGTTAAAAAGTTTTGAACATTTTTGAAAAAGTAAAAAACTTTGAAGCGATAAAGTATGGAACTTTTGAGGAGTTAGCGGGATTTCAAGGGTATCAATATGAAGCTCTTGGAATGCGCTATCAAACCAGTGGTGAAGGAGTTTGATCGATTTAACTAGCCGTCAATAGGAGCATTCGGAAGATCCGGACTTTTTGAAGAAAAAATTCCAGATAAAATTTTCTTACCATCCGATCTTTCTGATAATTTGCAGCTAGCAATATATAAATAACTACTAACTTTTGGCATCAAGATTTTCAAAATCCCGATCAAAAATTTTTTTGGCAGCCTGCCAAGTCGGTCGAAACTGCAAGTTTTACTTTAATAGAGTTAAAATCGTAGCATGATTGGCTTTGGCAAACAGCATTAAATTTAATCAACACAAAAGTTATGAGGGCGATAGGCTTTTTACTGTCAACTCGGAATCGCCCATTCCCGAAAAGTCGGGATTTTCCGAATACTCCTATTGACGGCTAGTTATACCGATCACGTCCTTTACCACTCGTTCGATAGCGCACTCCGAGAGCTTCATTTTGATACCATTAACATCCCCTAACTAATAAAAAAGTTCCTTACTTTATCGCTTCAAAGTTTTTTACTTTTTCAAAAATATTCAAAACTTTTTAACGACCCACTGGTCGTCAAAAATCTTAAAAAACAACATGTGTTATTTCTTCATGCCCAGCATATTTAAGCATTCTGGCAAGGTAACGATGGTCCGATTTGTTTCCGTTGGCGAGATATTTCACTGCAAACTTCGTTCTTTTTTTTTGACGCACCCTGTATATCTTCCACTACCTATTACCTATTTCAGTCGGGACCCTATGCTGAATTCATGTCGGACGAGCAGACGTTGGCGATCGGTCGCGCCCACACAGAGTCGACTCGTGCAGCCCGCGCAGCAGCAAATGACCTGACCGAACGGGCGATCCGCTACCCGAAGTGCGTCGACACGGTCGGATTGCTGGCAAGTTTTTTCTTGTTCTCACACGGAACTGTCAAACTCCCGCGGAACCGACAATTGGTTCCTAAGGGTTCGCTTTCAGAATGATGACCTTTGGCGCGTCGAAAGCGACATGTTGCTGAACTGCAAGAAGAACATCTTCGCACAGACCTCGGGCACCGCTGAGTTAATGATACGGGCCCCGATCTGTCAATGGGCAGATGAATTGGTCAGCAGTCATTATCGTTGTTTCCGGGTTTACTTGCAAGCCTGTTGGTTGTTGATTTTTTGGGATCTGGACTGTTAGCGGGGGAACCAAATGTTTCCCTGTGATTCGCGACGGCCCTATAACAAAATATAAACCATTTTTATCACATTTTACATAGTTTTTAGATATAAAAACCATATAAAGCTAATAAAAATTTCAAAAATATATGAAAAACGACCAAAAAGGCTCAATTTCCCGGATTTTCAAGAATTTTCGAAATTTTTTTAGAGGTTTCTAGCTATCAAAAACTGCTATAAATACTATAAAAATACATGATATATCAACAACTTGGTCAAAACGTCAAAAAAACAAGCTAACAGTCCAGAAACGATAACGTTTTCCAGCGGGTATGCCAGAATCGTAGCAGCAATCTGCAGCTAAAACCGAACACCACTTTGGCTACCCCGGTATCCGACGAGGGCTGGCAACTTTGTAAGTTTAATTTTATGGTACTACTCTGTTGGGGGGATGAGCTTGAAAGGAACTGCATTTTCAGGGCAAACTATCGCTTCCGTCACACCCCTACTCGTGGTTGTCGTTGTATCGCTAGCCGCTGTTTGCTTCTGTGCACGCCGTCGCACCCCCAAACAACGTGAAGTTACGGCTGTTACGGCTGCCAAGTCTGTCCAGCTGTTTGATTTTCAATTTTCCAAACAGGCAGCGCCTCATCCCCCATGACACGGCTTCATCGCTGCCAGAGACCTATGCACCAGAGTATATCGCGCTCCACATCCAAGACATGGCCGGAAATTGGGGCGATGATCTTGGAAAAAAGGTGAATCGGTGATCCTAGCTTTGATTCATGATTAAAGCTTCCGGTTGAGATGGCAATTTAAGATATTATGGCTTTAGTTGACCGGGGAGCCAAAACAAATTCCGGACGAGACGCCGAAGCATTTCCGTTTACCTAAGACTGGCCACACGGCTTTGCAGGCCGAGGTGAAATATTTGGTGGGTGACAGTAACGTTCACAGCGATTCATATCCAATGTTTCTAGGCTGACGGCCAGAAGCCCGACGAAGAAGTCAAGTGCAAAAAGGTACTAGTGGTATCTTTCGCGGGAAATAAGCCTAAGCCTAAATCTAAGCGTCCTAAACGCTAAGCGTAGGCCTAAGGCTAAGCCTAAACCCAGCCGAAGCCAGGCCCGAAGCTCAAGCCAAAGCCCAGCCTAAGCCAAGCCTAATCTCTAAGACTAACCTACGCTTAACCTACGCCTAGTCAGAACCCTAAGCCTAAGCCCAAGCCAAAGCTCGGGGGTAAGCCTTAAATAAAACCCTGACTTGCCCCAAAAAAAACGAAACCGCAGGGCACTAACGACGCTTCGGCTCCCGTCGATGCTTTGACCGTGGCAAAGAACATTGTGAGACGATTATCCGAAGACACCTGGGTTTGGGGACCGCAACCACCCAAGAAAGTCGACAAGAAAGGCGACAGCGACGCCGAAAAGAAGAAAGAGAAGCCCAAAAAGGTACGGGGAGAACTTTTTGATCATAAGTTTCCACACCGGAGCGAGCTTGTCTTGTGCAGAAGTTTGCGCTGGTCCCGATGCCGTTTTCGAAAACGGCGAAACCACCAGAACCAAAAAGTTATGAAACACGGGAAGCTTGAAAGCTTCATAACTGTTTTGGTCTCTTCGCTTCGCAGATTTTGAAAACAGCATCGGAATCAGCGCAAAATTCTGCACAGTCTAGAATTGGACCCATGTGGGAACTCGATTGTCACTAAAAAACGCTGCCCTGTCATTATCTACCAAAAATCGCTGTGTGCAGGTGGCGCAATTCGACGCCGCTGAGCTGGCGGCCCTTTTTACGCGTGCGACGGAGGTTGTTAGCGAGCAACGAGGGGCCGTCCACCTGACCGGCCCGGTCTGGATCGTTGGCGATTTGAAGGGGGATGTGAGTGACTTTCTGCACCCTAAAAAGGGCTCATTGCCTGTTAGAGGGGGGTGTTTTTGCCAAAAAGCATTCTTCCGCTCTCGGCGCCTTCGATCCGATAAAAAAGATAGAAATTTTGTCCGTTTTTGGAACCAATTGGATGTGAGGCGCCTAAAAGCCGGAGGGGAGCCTTTTTTTGGGACACCCTGTTTACAACCTCGAACCATGGTTTTTAAGCTCATCTCCGTTTGGCGTATCGTCAAGGCCTACTCAACGATGGCCGACGCGGGCACAAAGTGAGTTTGCTGGCGAGTGATCCTAATAATCCTGTACGTATATAACGAGCAAAAACAAGGCATATCAAACAACATAACAAAAATAAACCATTTTTGTCCAGTATCTAACAACTTTTTCGTCAAAATTATGAAAAATGACCAGCGTAACATTTTCAAATTTGTAGGGTTTAAGTTATTTTTTGAACTCTATTTCAATCAAAAACTGCTAAAACACTATGAAAATAGGTTGTGTAGCATCAACCGGGAAAAAATCCCCCCGCTAACAGTCCAGTACCAAAAATTTTAGGTTGCTTTTCCTGGGCAACTTGGGCTCGTCGGAGGAGCCGATGTCTGTGGCCGTTATTGCTCTCGTTGTTGCCATGATGATCATCTACCCGAAAAACGTGGAATAAAACGCTTACCATCAGCTGATGTATTTTAGATGTTCTACCTCTGCGGCGAATTCGAGCTGCCGAAAAAGGACAAGAAAGCCCGCTTCTCCGAGCCTCACGTAACCGGCAAGCAAGTGGCCGAGATGAACAACGCCATCGACGCTTTTTTCGCCCGGCTGCCGATTTTCGCCACGATTGACAGGCGCATACTGGTGGTGCACGGTGGCCCTTGTAGGTTGCAGTCTTAGCAAGGGCAGGGGGGCTTTAGCTGTGGCTTTTACGGCCTTTTATACGTTGCAGTTTGGAGTCTGGCATACAGAAAGCCCAATTTTCGGCATTTGGTAGTTTTTAGTCTACAAGCTACGAAATCCCGATTTTTAAAGAGATCCTAAGCGAAAAATCCGGCGTTTTGTAGTTTGTAGCCTCCCAGACAGAAAGCACGACTATCGGCCTTTTGTAGTTTGTAACCTAACCGGGTGTTTTCGCGGTTTATTGCGTAGTTTTATATTGTGTTTCGAGGTTTTCGATTGTAAAAGGGCCTAAAACCGCGGACAAAATCCGAAAATCCGGATTGTTTTTCAACATTTTCGACATTATTGAGCAAAAGCATACGTCCCCCCCCCCCCGAAAACAGCCCAGAACCATATCCAATCGCCAAATAAATAATTCCAGGCCCTGAGCTGACAAAGGAGCTGCTCCGCGAGGGATTCGACCTCAGCGACCCGAAGCTCAACGATCTTCGCGTCGCCTCCGTGATGAGCTGCCCGCAATGGCATCGAAAAGAGTTTGTGCAAAAAGAAATATAGATTTTTCGACTCAATTTCACCTACAAGTTTTTTTCTCATATTTAATTAGTTTTTCACCTGAAAAATAGTTTGATTTTACCTGCGAAAAAATGTTTAAGTGCATACTTATATTTCTGGAACATTCACAAAACTCGTATTTTCAGGTTCGAAAAGAAGAAGGCAAACGACGGGGGCTACCTGTTCGGCAAACAAGCAGTAGCCGACGTCCGCAAGCAGCTCGACGTCGATTTCATCATCCGCGGCAATGAGGTACCAGAATCACGCCGTCAATTTACATTGATAATGCCACTATCAGTCCTTGAACGCGGGCATCAAGCTCTTCGGCGATTGGGTGATCTCTCTTTACTCGACGCCCACCGAATTTCAGGAGGAGGTAGGCTGTTTTTTGGGCCTTAAAATAGCTACAAGCGTTTCGTCTAGACACACGACTCCCTAGCTCCTTTCAGGCTGACAAGGAGTCGCTTTTAGGTGCTTTTGGAGTTTCGGGACGGGACCTAGCTAGTTCGATAGAGAAAAAAAATTCTGAGCAACATCCCGTTTTCAAAAAGTGCTGATCGATAAAGGAATTTTAGAAAATTTAATTTAAAGTTTGCGTTTTTTCTGGTTTTCGGGTTCATTTCCTCGGTTCACGTCGTTTTCGGGGCTGGGTAGGGCGCCATTCGTAACTCTCCGCCAATGCCTCCATCACAGGTTGCATTAGCGTATTGGTAGCGCGCTTGCCTACCAACTTTTTAACATTTTTTTTTGCCTCGGGTTCGAATCTTCGCGCTGGCTAACCGCTTGCTTTTTGGTTCATGAACCCGTTATCGGTGCATAAAATTTTAATTAGCAAAAAAGCAAAGAGTTAACGGCAAATAAGAATCGAACTTGTGGCAAAAGGTCAAAAAAACTTGGTAGGCCAACGCACTAGCCACTTGGCCATGCATAGGACGGCATCCAAGGCGCGTGAAGTCCTCATGTGGCAGCGGCGATCGACCGCCGCAAATCACCTCTAATCACCACAAGGGTGCCGATACCGGGAACATTTTTAATTACATTTAATTTTCTAAAACACCTTTTTCGATCAGCACTTTTTGAAAACGGGATGTTGCTCAGAATTTTTTTCTCTATCGAACTAGCTAGGTCCCGTCCCGAAACTCCAAAAGCACCTAAAAGCGACTCCTTGTGAGCCTGGCCAGACCCCCTCGCCGGTGCGCTGGCTTCTTTGGCGTGCTGCGCTACGACGGAACCGGCTTGTTCACGATGCTCCATTTCGTCGCGTTCGACGACTTTCACGAATGTGAGGGATTTTCTAATTGCTTAGCGAGCGTCCTAACGGGGGCTTAGGCTTGGGCTTAGCTTAGTTTAGGCTTAGGCTTAGTTTAGGCTTGGCTTAGGCTTAGGCTTCGCTTGGCTTAGGCACTGCCTAGGCTTGGCTTAGCTTAGGATTAGGTTACTGACAAGACGAACGCCCTCCAACAACCTTATGTTTAGCGGGTGCTGACTGCGAAAACTTCTTGAAGGTCGCTCTCGGCCAAGACGTCGCCTTCATGACCCAGAATGTCGAGGTAGTTGCTTGAGTCTGGTAATGCCGTACGATACTAAAACGGATTATAAAGCCATTTTATCGCACTGTAACGCATTTTTATAGTATTTTACGGAGTTTTTAGATATAAAAAGCTCAAAAAAAATTTGCGTTTTTTTGCCAATAAGTGCCGTTCAGCGGACAGAACCAACCTTTTTATTTAGGTGGATGCCGCCGCACCCACGACCACAAGCCCTTCTGGAGATGTGGGTTTTAAGCTATGTCAAAAAGCATGTTTTCCGGATTTAATTTTGTCGAGATCGCAAAAATGATTATTTTGGTTTTGGTTGGTTAGTTTGGATAGGTAAGGTAGGTAAGCCTATGCCTAAGACTAAGTCTAGGCCTAAGACTTAGCCTAAAACTAAGCCTAAGCATGATCCTAAGCCTAAGTTTAAGCAGAAGCTTGGATGCTAAGCCTAATTCTAAGCCTAACAAGGAGTCGTTTTTAGGGGATATTGGAGTTTTGGGACTAGACATAGCTCATCCGATAGAGAAAAAAATTCTGAACAACGTACCGGTGTTCAAATCTGCTAACCGTGTATCATAGTCGAGAAATAATTAATTTTGTTTTTTTAATTTTCTCGGCGGGTTTTTCTGATGGCTGGCGGGTTCTGCAGGTGCCCCTCTGCCTGTTGCCCTAGGCTGATAGCCGTTCCCCTCGGCCTCGCCGGCATGGCAGCGTGGCCGAGTGGATAGCACTCCCGCCGAGCAAACTTTTCCAGAAGTCAAGTGGCAGGTTCGACGCCATACACGGGATTTCTTTTGCTTTTTAACCAAAAAAGGGTCCCGAGGCGCTCTGGCCTCTCCCGCTTTGATTTAATTTCTTTTTCTTGTATTTAAAATTTAATTTCTTTTACACAAGCAAAACAGATATAATTTGTGAGACATCAACAACTAGGCAAATAGTCAATCAACACAAATGACATTCGATGATAAAGTGATGGAAGCAAAGGAAACTATCACAACGGGCACACCTCAGGAAACTGGGTTCTTGGCACTGGCCGAATTGGCAAGATGAGGCGTGGCAACTTCTAAAACACCATTGTGCTGGTGGGACAAATGTTGGGGGGCGCGTTTCCGAAATTCCGGCCTTAAACCAGCTATACAATCGCATATTACGGAACACTTCAGCTCCAAATTGATGGTGCGCCGTTGACAAAAGCTTGATGATGTAGTCGCGCGTCGGAATTTTGATGGTGATGTTGTAGAGCAGCACATGGTTATTAACGCAACGAATAAAAATTCGGAACTGCCGGAAGTAGAACAAGTCGAAAGGCTGAATGAGACTAGTGCCGCCCGCGGGAATTGTTATTATCTAAATCACGTGAGTTCCGGGAAATACCGTACCTCGATTTCTGTTCCCGGCATTAGTACTTCTAGTTGATCGACCTTTGTCCAGGGTCCCCAGGAGTCGAGAAGGGCCACCATGTGCCTCACATCAATCGCCTCGGGACCCTTTTTTGGTTAAAAAGCAAAAGAAATCCCGAGTATGGCGTCGAACCTGCCACTTGACTTCTGGAAAAGTTTGCTCGGCGGGAGCGCTATCCACTCGGCCACGCTGCCATGCCGGCGAGGCCGAGGGGAACGGCTATCAGCCTAGGGCAACAGGCAGAGGGGCATCTGCAGAACCCGCCAGCCATCAGAAAAACCCGCCGAGAAATTTAAAAAAACAAAATTAATTATTTCTCGACTATAATACACGGTTAGCAGATTTGAACACCGGTACGTTGTTCAGAATTTTTTTCTCTATCGAATGAGCTATGTCTAGTCCCAAAACCACAATATCACCTAAAAACGACTCCTTGTAAGCCTAAACCAAAGCCTACACCTTTTTTCCAGACTGCGCCTACTCCGACGAAATGAGCTGCGCGGGGCCACGATCGATTATAATCTTTGTACAGTATCTTATGCACTTAAAAAATTCTGACTAGTGCAGTCTGGTCGGCGGTTTGGACTTTTAACAACGAGACGCTAACCTGACTTGCTAGGCTCAAAACCAATCTGAAAACTAAGGAATGAAGAAAGCCAATATACGTTTGTTGTAAGCCGAACAAATAACTTAGCTAGCAAAAAAAACATAGTGAAAGCGCACGTTCAAGCATGCGCTACGTGGGTGCCTATTTACGGGTGCGTCGTTGTCTTCGGTATGGTACCCTCAGCGTCTTTAGGCGCCCACGTAGCCCATGCCTGAACGTGGGCTTGAGAGCTGAGTGAAGCCTAGGCGGAAGTTGAAAAGGAAGCAGCATGAGGGTGGCGTCTCCCTAACTCCTAGCATCAAGTCCAATCCGCCCCCCCCTCTGTCACTACCCTTCATCGACTAGATTATTTCATCGATTACCTTGTCCTCTTGCTCGCTATTGTGTCCATGATTTTCCTGCTGCCTGTGCTTGTGCTCTGTTTAATAAATATGTATGGCATACGCTGGTGGAGGAATTCCGACCATCTCGCCGAAAACCATCTCGCCGAAAACCATTTCGCCGAAAATCTAATTTTGTATGGTAATGTTGCTGGGGTTACTGAAATTTCAGGCATTATGAAAGATAAATGAGAGTTGTCTGTGTGTCCTTGATCCCGATGTGTTGGTGTGGCAACACATCCAGTGTCTCCTTGAGCCGACCCTTCCCGAACTTAACCCGCTGATTCCCGCTCCCAGATTTTTAGGGGTGGTGTATACGGGCAAAAAACTATATAACGTGAGGATAAAAGATCCGATTACGCGATGAAACGTAAAAAGAGCCGTACTTGGTAAAAGTCGACAAAATAATGAAAAAGAATATTGTAAATTGTATTTGAAACAATCCGCCAGGTCGCAAAGAGTGCTTTATATTTCGAGGTCGAAATCCATTTGTATTAAATCGAAATACTGGTGAAATCGTCAAAACAAACCTTAGTTTGGCTGTAACTTTTTTGTTTTAGAAGATTTTGCTTTGAAAATTTGTGAATGAGGGAAAGCGGTGAAAAAGCCCCCCCCGAAGAACGGCTTCAAATCGGTCCCCAAATATGACCCCAAAAATAGTGATGAAAATCCTGACATTAAATTTAAATTCCCCCGCTAACAAACCAGAAACTGTGATCCTTTGCAGCCCAATGCGAGTGTTCGTTGTTGTTGAGATCGACTGGCTCAGGTGTCGGGACTGGATCCCGGCGACAAAATAACCCGTGTGACCGGGAAAGGAGAATGAATTGATCCCAGCCGTTTCCTCCCCCACCTACCCGGCTGAACCGATCGGCAGGTTAGGCTGATCCGTGTCGTCTACTAGCGATCGCTAATCCATACAAAGAAACTTATCGCGCCGCCCGCGATCCATCATTCCAGGAACCGGATTTTTGGGACCGTGACGCGGCGATCTCTGGACTCTGTCACTTGACGGTGCTAATTGGAGCGTATTTTCGACATCTTCAGACGAGAAAGCTAGATGTTTACCGCTTCACAACTTCCCATCGAGCTGTTGGTTTGTGATTTGAAGCTGTGGTTCTTTCGCATTAACTGGGGGGGGGGGGGGATTTTTTTGTATTAAACTAGAAATACCTAGCAACTTATCAGGAAGTATTTTCCTAATGTTTTTAATCAAATAAAACCATGTTTTAACTAGAAAAACTGTCTAAAAACTATCAAAAAGTTTTCAAAAAAGTCGACATTTTGGTCAAAAACGGCGATTTTTGGACGAAAATCTTTATTTTTGTATCTTTTAGTAAAATTTTGTAAAGTTTTGACATTTAGGGATAGTAAAAAACAGGGAGTATCAATTTTTTCTAGGACGAAGTTATCAAAAAGCTTGGGCCCGACGAGCGAGATAACCTTCGGCGCACCAACCAGGTAACTTTGACGAATTCAATAAATCGAATTTCCCAGTTTTTCTCCCGTTTCCAATACCACAAGCGCTTGTTCCCGGAACGTATCGAGCGTCTACAAGTCTCATCGGTATCCTAAAAACACCACTTCCCATTCGATAGACTTTAGAACAAAATCATTGTCGAATTTGCTGGTGGCCAGATTTCGATCAGCAAAACGAAGATCGGCAATGAGTTGTTGTTGCGGAATAATGCGTCTTCGTGAGTGGTTAATTCTAGTAGGAGATGAACTCGTGCTCCAGGCTGTTGATCACCAAAACACACGGGATGGCGCTGTTTTCCGAGTCGTTGCGTCGAGCATCGATCAGGGTTGTTGAGAGAGACCTTTCCTTGAACTCGACGCATGTCCTTGACAGCCAGGTGGGTGCATTAAAAACCTTTTTGGGAGACATACCGGATTTTTATATCGTTTTTCGTAGCGTTTGTTTCCTGAAAATGCATAAAAACATTGGCAAATTGAAACATTTCGGCATTTTTTCGCCAAAATCATATTTTATGATATTTTTATGAACTTTCTAGGTTCTTTCACATTATCGGGGGGGGGGGGTTACCAATTTTTTTGTATTAATCTAGAAATGCCAAAAATGCCAGACCCATATTTTCATATAGTTTTTACTAAAATAAAACCCTATTTTCACTAGAAAAACGGTCAAACAACTAAAATTTTGAAAAAGTCGAAATTTCGTTAAAAAACCGGCCATTTTTCGACGGAAAACGATATTTTTTTGGTAAATAAAAATTAAAAAATTAAAATTAAAAAATTGTAAAGTTTTTACGTTTAGGAATGGTCAAAAAAAACAATTTAGGAATACTAAAAAACAGTTTAGAAACACTTTATATTAAAAAGAAAAAAATTGTGTGGCCCTCCCCCCCCCCGCTAACAGCCCAGTACCCATTTTTCAGGGCAAAGCCGACGAAGCATGGTGGCAGATGGCTTTTTCTTTCCGGCAGGCATGTCTCGTGGATTTGGACGTATTTTCGAACACCGCCCCGCTTTTTGTAAACTGGTTAGGGGATCGCCCTGTAGAGCATTTGAGGCTCAAAATTAAGGTGTGAATTATACATTTCCGGATATTTCTCCTAGCATCGACCAACTAGCGAACCGATGGCACTTCCGGTGGCTCTGAACTCGTCGACGGCGGTAGGGTTGATCATCTACTTTCAAAACAGCAAGTTCAGCTCCGCTCGGCGCGCCTTGTCGAGCTTCACATCGGGGATCACGAGAAACTGGCAGCGATCCCGGAGATCAGCGCCGAACTTCGAGTTTTTGGGTCGATATTCATTTGCCAAGAATTTTTGGAGGCAAGCTAGAAAATCGACTGTAAACGGAAGTTTTTGGTTCTGAACTGTTAGCGGGGGGGGGTATCCTAGACATAAATTGTATTAAATACACAGTTGTTCAAGGTTTTGAATTCTTGCTAATATTTTAATAGTGTTTACAGCCTTCCTGTTACTAAGATGTCATAAAAGGTTTTTAGAAACTTTAAAAACTTGCGGTTATAACCAATCTCATAAATTTTATACCAAAAATCAAAAATTCTCGAAGATTTTAATAATTTTCGTGTTTTTCTAGGTTTTCTAGCGGGTTTCTATACTTCTAGGAATAGCCCAAAGTTATTGACTACCCCCCCCCCGCTAACAGTCTAGTACCGTTTTTTAGAAGCTACGAAGCGGAAAGGAGGCAACGTTTAGAAAAGCTAAATTAGTGCCTGCCGTGGAAGAAGAGCGGAAAACGGAAATTCCGGTAAGTAAAAAAGTTTAAATAAGCATAAAAGTGATCCTAAAAACTAACTCTGTTGTAGAAACCGAATGACGATAACGCTGCCGAGAAGCAAAACGATAGCTCCTCCTCCCCGGAGCCGAAGAAGAAGCTCCACAGAGAGATTCGGGATCAACACAGACGCTGTTGTTTGCTGGTTCAGCCCATGCACCATTAAATTCTTGCTTTTCAATAAAAATCAGACAAATCTCTACTTCTCCACGATCCTCAAAAATACATTTATCCAAACGACATTTTGGCAGCATTTCATAAAAAGGCAATTTTGTTGTGTTTTTTGCACGGCGTCAACTGGAATAGGGTGAGCAACTTTTCGGGGAGTATACAAAAAAGGCCAAAAAATTTTAGATGAGCTTCTCGATGGTCTTCTGGTGCTCATCGGGGCAGTACTGAAGCCCGTTGTAGAGCTTATAGAAGCAGTCGTGGCAGTACGGCTTCCGGTCGTGCTCACGGTACGTGCCGTGCATGTTCAGCGCCTGGAATTGAGACGATTTTCTATTTCTTAGAATAAAAAAATGTATAATTTAGTGTAGGTATGGAAATTTGCTGTAGTTCAGAGCTTTTTAGCGTTTCCGGTTTTGGACTGTTAGCGGGGGGGGGGGCTAATTCTGGTCTATTTAGTACTCAATATTCAAAAGGACATTTATTTGGCTTTTCCGCCGTTTTTTGAGCGGACAAAATTAAGAAAAAACTCGTAAAAGTGTCTAAAGCAAAGATAAGTTACTAAAATCTACATTTAAAGTGTCTAAAACAACGATAAACTACTAATATATCTCTATTAAAAGCTTCGAAAAAATGATAAACTACTATTATATTACTAAAAACGCTCAACATTTCAAGGTATGAGGCGTAGGACAGCTAGTTTTTCCACCCCCGCTAACAGACAAGAACCGGGATTTCGTGCATTACAACATTTATTAGTATTATTTTCATTATTCCTTACCTTCTGGCAATAGGTGCACATAAAGTGGTAGGTGTGGAACTTCTGGGCGCGCTCTGAGTTTGGAGCGAGGGCCGTCAGAATTTGGCCTGAAATTTTTATCGTTTTTTTCCAGTAGTATTTATTGTTTTTCAATAGTATACGATAGCTAGATTTAATTACAGCGCCATGATAACCATAAAAACCCACCGTCAATCTCCCCATCGCAATAGGCACAAATCGCGGGCGCCGTCGGCGGCGGTGAGGGCTGAATCATTGGGTTATTTTGAGAGTTGCGCCCAGTATGGACCCGTTTCCGCTCTAGCGCACCCGCGTGAATTCGGGCGCCAATTTATGAACGCGCCGTTTATACGCGGAGGCAAATATTAAAAGAGAAAACAAAACACTACCACGATTCTATAAAAAAAATACAGATCAATTTAGCTTACCTCAATTTGCAGGGTGCGCCTCGGCGTCTCGCTGCGAGCCCGGCGTCTCAGACTCGCGCTGAAATTTTCGGTGAATGATGCATAAAAAAATGGTGCTTTGGCATTATCGGGGTAGGGAAGAATCTATTTCTTTTTCTATAAGTTCATAAAGCCTTGTAACCTAAAAGTATAGTATTCTAGTAGCAATTTTGCTATATTTAAAGCTGAAGAACAATCACAAAAAAACTTAGAAAAAGTTTTCGGTTGACATTTTGGTCAAAAAATCTATATCTTTGGATTTTCAATGAAAATTTGTAAAGTTCTTCCGTTTAGAAATGGTAAAACAAATGGGAAACACTTCCTTATTTACATATATTATACAAATAGGATCGCTATGAAAAAGTTTGTATCCCCGATAATGCGAAATAAAATAACTTTAGCTTACGTGTGCGATTCCGAAATGTCAACGCCGAAATCGCGATGCATGTCTTCGACCGTCGTCTTCTCTTCCGGCACTGAAAATTTAGCGTTGAGGTTAATTTATTCTACACAAACTACGAGTTATTACAAATACTATAATTATTCTGCAGTTTGAGATGAATTTTCGATTATTAATGCTCTTAGATGAACGCTTTTCCCCAAACCGACGTTGTTCGTACTGCTTTGGTGACGGGAATGGCCTCGGCTCCTCATCAACCGTCGGTGTCAAACGGAGACGGTATTCGACCTCCTGAAGAAATAACTTATTAATTTTATTCAATTAGTATTGCAAAACGAATAAGAATAGTACCTCGCTGCCACGATCCTTCTTCTTGCCCTTATCCCGGCCCAGCGACCCACGCCGCAGCACCTCGGCCGTCGCATTCACATCGTAGACGAGCGCGGCAAGCGTGTCGGTCACGGCATTCGTTCCTGAAAGCGCATAAAATAATGTGAAAAAATAAACTTTTAAAATATTAATTTATTAAAAATCCCAACTACGAGACAATACGACATTACGCATATCGTCGTCATAGGCGTGCCTCGTAGTGTTCGCGATTTTTCGTTTCGATTTTTGACGATCCCAGAAATTTTTATATTGACTTTTCTTTTCCTATAAAAAATGGCAATTCATATAAGTAGACCGGTAGACCGGTAGACCGGTAGACCGGTAGACCGCCTTTTCGTTCAAATTCATAAAAGTAGACCGGTAGACCGGTAGACCGGTAGACCGCCTTATCCTTCAAATTCATAGAAGTAGACCGGTAGACCGCTTTCTTGTATAAACGTGTTTTTACTTAATAAAACATTAAAATTAAACTTTTATTATTATAATATACCGTAATTAGTATTTTAACTTAACAGAGGGTACTTTATCATGAAGTCTAGCTTGTTGGGGTCCATATACTCATGTATCCGGGCTTTATTGCAGCTTTTTTAACCCAGTTTTTAGTTTTTAATTGAATTTAGCTATTATTTTATTAATATACTGTTTCTATGTTATACTGTTCTCCTGCGCGTTCTTTGTTTGCAATATTATCTACCAATTACGCGCTCCCCCGTAATTTTTAGCTTTTCGTGTTGTATATTCATTTATTCCTCGTTTAATACTTTGTTAGTAATCCGTAGTATTTAAAACTGAATTTAGTGGGGAAATACTTCAAATAGCACATATGTCGATCTAGTTTAGTAACCTGTCGATAACGAGCGCCTTTTTCCGCGCCTTATACGTAGTAGTTCGTGCTTATGCATCACCTGACCTTAAATATGAAGTCAGTCGTTGGTTAACGAAGGTTTTAAAGTATGTTAGCCCATCATAGGCGTCTTTTATAAGTTCCTTATGACAAAATCGCGTTTCATTATAACACGCCCTAAGCCAGCTTTGCTCAGAAGCCAAGCTAAGCAAACAAGCAAGCAGCAACAAGCTAGCTTCAGCCAGAGCTTAGAATAACGAAACCTTGTCATTAACTTCCTGGTTAGGACTGCGGAGATATGCCATTTAGCATCCATTGCTTCAATGCGTAGGTATACAAAAAGCATTCTCATTTGCTGCCAAACTGATGATTTGACGAGGCTTGCTGAAGATTCGTCCTTACTTCGTCGATTGAGTGTGAAACGATTATTCAAAGTGAAAACGCCGACTTTAATAGGGAATATATTAAAATTAAACTCACCGACTTCCAGTTGAATGATATGTGAGACAAAGGCAAGAACTACTATAATAATGGTATTATCATACTGTTAAATGCAAGACAAAGCGTTAGAGGTTAAGCATTACTACTTTACCAAATTAATAGTTGCTGTTTAAACTATTAACCAACATTACTAAAATATGAAAACCATGAAATACTAAAAGATTGGACGAAATACCAGGAAGAAACTATTGTAACAAACGAAAAGCGTGAGAACTATGGAGCTAACGCGTTTTGAGTAGGTAACGCTACATATAAAAAGAACGCGCTTGTAGGATAATAGAATATTACTAAACTAATAGCTGAATATGCTTCAAATAAAGCATTTTTCTTAATAAATGTATTAAGAAACAAAACCCCGGGTTAAAAAAAGCTGCAATAAAGCCCGGATACATGAGTATATGGACCCCAACAAGCTAGATTTCATGATAAAGTACCCTCTGTTAAGTTAAAATACTAATTACGGTATATTATAATAATAAAAGTTTAATTTTAATGTTTTATTAAGTAAAAACACGTTTATACAAGAAAGCGGTCTACCGGTCTCCTTCTATGAATTTGAAGGATAAGGCGGTCTACCGGTCTACCGGTCTACCGGTCTACTTTTATGAATTTGAACGAAAAGGCGGTCTACCGGTCTACCGGTCTACCGGTCTACCGGTCTACTTATATGAATTGCCTAAAAAATCTTTTTTTTGTCTTGAAATATTTTTTTTATTATCAATCACGCCTCTTTCCCCTTCATTTTCCAATTTCAGATGCTCAGCTTCGACGAGAAAACCACAAAAATACTTGCAGCCGCCGAGGCGCGCCAAAAAGAATTGGAAAAGATCAACGAAGGCGCTTCTGCACCCCGCCCTACCGGTAATTCAATCAATTTAGCCCTAAATCATTCTCCTTTTAGTTTCCGAAACCAGCGAGACGGACACCGCCGGCCTCGATCGGGCTACGATTGTAAGGAATTTGTTTCTTGCCTAAAATAATGTTTTTTTTTTCAGCGCGCCCGCTTCGCAGCCCTGAGCGCGGAAGAAGAACAAGTCGAGTTCCACTTCACGCCACCGAAAAGCGACCGATCCCGTGATGATAATTCCTTGGCGCCGGTGCCCGCCCCACGAAAGACCAGCGGCAGCTCGACCGATCGTTCATCGAAAGCTGTCGACTTCTTCGCCCCAAAGAGCTATGTCACGCCGAAGAAAGGTTGCCTGAAATTACGCAGATTATCCTCTTTTTCTTTAGAGGATCCAACCACCGGCTCGGCCATCATCTTCAACCGCAATGTGCCGCACGTCATTTCGAGCGTCAAAAAAGAAGAAAAGTTGACGACTGATACGGTATATTTGACTTTTTTTTCTTATTATCCAACTTTTAGGTCACGATTGAACACAACAACACCGCCACCTCGACCTCGACTTCCACAGCCTCGTCCACTCGTTTCGGGATGCAAACTTTCCTGTCCCAGAAGGTATATTCCAAATTTTTCTTCACCATTTTATATCTTTTAGAAGCCATACTTGCCCAACTCGACGCCCGACCACCAAAACCCAAACGAATCCATCATCACCGGGAGCCCAATGGTGTTCAAAGGCCAGCGCGTGCTCAATTTGCAACATCACGACTCGTTCACTTTTCCTTCACATGGCGCCGCTGACTTCGTAAGCTTCTTGTTCGTATTTATCATTTGTTTTTAGAAGCCGCTAAGCACTAGCTCTCCGATTCGCGATGACATGAGCACGCCGCCGCTTCCGCCAAGTATCACAGCTACCACAGAGCCCGTCAAGCCGAAGGAGCTGTTTCGCACCGTTTGGTCGGGTGCCAGCAAGATGACGCCTGTGCCGGAAGAGCCTTCCCGTAAAGATTCGGCGAATCTGCAGAACTTGCGAAGCCGCTGGGAGGTATAATTTCTCAAAATATTGATTTTCTTTCATCTTGTTTGCTACCTTAGTAATTATCGGACGGGGAAATCCATTTTTTCCTCTACTAGTAACGTCATGACAAGTACTTTAAGGGGGGCCCCCGGGGCCCCCCCCCCCGGGGCTTCCCCCCTTTTTTTTTTTAAAAATTTTTTTAAAACCCCCCCCCCCCCGAGTCGTTCTAGTAAAATATAGTCAAATTAAACGCGGGAAACTCTTTAGAAAACTTTAAAACAGTTTCAATTTTTGAAGTGTTAGTCGAAAGATCTTTTTTTTTGTGTTTTTTCGTAGAGTTTTTTACGTTTAGGAATAGTAAACACGAGTTTAGAAACGCGGGCTATTTCTGTTAGACAATTCAGGATTGAAAGAAAATCCTCCCGGATTTTTCGTCTTTCATTCTTCTCTCTTTAGCTGGCCTCATCAACGGGCACTCCGCTTCACCCGGATGCCAGCGAGGAAGAGTTGCGCAAGTTGGCCGCCCTTTCTTCCGAAAAAACATTGCCCGCAACCAAGACCACGGCGACAAAGGTATACTTCGACATTTTTCCAAGATTCTTTTTGTAGTTGCCACACGTACTTCGTCTGCCCCACCCTAACTTTGGCGCCGGGGGCTCGGCCGAACGCACTGTCTCCTCAACGAGGTCCTGGAAGTCTGATGCTCTTCGCTCACCGCTCGGTCTCAAATCGCCGCCACCTGTCACTTCGCCGCATCTTCGCTACCGCTCCTTCAAGCCGGTATTTTTCGCTTTGCTATTTTGTATGTTCTTA